GTGACTGGCCAATCTCTGGCTAATCTCTAAATTCCAAATGTCAATAATAGTGTTTTACTACATGGGATAAAAATAGGAAATATGGACAACAAGCACTGTTACTTAGGAAATGACCCAGAGATGATCCAAGAGGATCATCAGTGGGTTCTCATCTCATGCTTGCTGGTAACCAAATGTCTGACCTAGGGCACATCATCCAACTCTCTGAGGTTCAGTCTCCTCATCTGAATCTGGGTCAGATCATCTTTAAGACCCTTCAGGGCTAACATTCCCTGTGTTTAGTATGTTTCCCCGTCAGTAACGGAAGAGGAAGGAAACAAAACACACAAATGGAAAAGTTAATTGGCTTTATATAAAGTTCAAAAACAAGAAACTGAGGTCTAGCAGGTAAAATACAGGTAATTTGGATTCCAGGATTAAACAACAAATTCTGTGAGGTTTGTTTTATTAAATATATCCAGATTCTCGTGACCTTTATTTCTTTTATTTTTTTTTTAAAAAAAAGAACTTTGTTTTCATGATGGGAAAAAAATGAAACTGATTAACATCATTTTTAGAAAAGAGATAATTTAGACATTCTTAATAAAGTCTAAAGTCAGATATAAAGAAAGGAACAAATATAAAATATTCTAAAGTTGAGTAAGTACTACTAATTTGAAAAGGTAGTAATTATATAATTATGAGAACTGAAAGACAAAGCCATTACAAAGTCATCTTTGGATATTAGATGGGAACTATAGTGAGAAAAGACCCTGTCCACTTGAGTGAATGAATGAGTGAGTACAAAAGAACTTTAAGAACTGATGACTGGCCAATGATGTGTCTCAATGATTACATACAAACCTCAGTGACAAATCACTGACCTCAAAATCTGATACTAATTATATGAAATGTTGATTATATGATCATCCAATTCAATCCTTATTAAAAAAAAAGAGAGAGAGAGAGAAGAATAACAGTCAAAATAATTGGTACAGAAACAGGGATATTACAACTTAGAAAAGAAACTTTAAGAAGGCAATTTCAACAAGAAAATATTTTAAAGCATTTCTATTTATAATGTAAAAATTATAGGTTTTCTTATTTCTAAATATTCTATTTTGCTGGGGCTCATATTAGTTGAGCTTTAAAATGACTGATTCATGGATGCAGAAATGTAGTGATCATTACTATTACAGGATATAAAATCTAAAAGCTATAAAATCTAGAAGAATCTTTATTTACCCAGCAAGATTAGTGTAAGTGGAAGCAGCAAAGTGGTTTTTGTGTTTTTCTCACTTATTTGGTGTGTGAACCTGGGCAAGTTACTTAACTTTTCCAAATTTAAGTTTGCTCATCAGTAAAATTAGACAAATAAAGTGCCTAACTCAGGGGTTTTGAGGTTTAAATGAGAGAATACATGTAAGAACACACAATCACTTTTTTTTAAATTGTTACTTAAAATACTACAGAGGTAGAAGTATTTTTTTTAAAAATAAAGCACCAAATCATTAAGCCAACAGAACAGGAAATGTGCTTCCCTAACTTTCTATTATGAATTTTCACATTATTCAGAAAACAGACTAAGGGAATTCACTTTATCCCTATTCTAAATTCACTTTATCCCTATTCTAACTAGTAAAGCGTAAACCTGACACTTCTGAACCCACGTAACAGGGGTTTCAGAGCCATGAGACAGTTTTCAATCCTCTTTGGCTTAAACGCCAAACAATTACGATAGGAGTATTACCGGTTGGCACACTGAGGCCAAAGAACAAAACCAAACACACTAAAGATTAAATACGTGTCTTATTAGCCTTAATTAACTGGATGGAACATTTACCTAAAAATAGCACTCATCTCTTTAATCCTGACACAGATCTCTGGAAAGAGTCAATTAAACTCTAAAACTTCAAAAGTAGATGCAGTCATGATTCCAAACACGCTCACTTTGTGGGGGTTATTCTTACCCGAAAAGACATTTGTCAAAGCTACTGGGCTGTGACTGGTCTGCACCACCATTACACACCTCCACTACCATATTCCTTTAAGTAGAAACTAATCGTATCTCTGTGTTTATTACAGACCTAGGAGTAGTAAATAACATGCTGGGACTGAACTACCATCATTCCATATAAGCTTACGGGGCATATACATAACAGGAGAGACGTAAGGAAAGATGGGGCCATTTTCAAGTACCAGAAAGTGTCACGTTAACAAGTAACTCATCCTCCCTGTGTAAGTTACACGCAGGCAGGTTTTAACGCAGCATAGAAAAGAACTAATATATCCACAATTGTGATGGGTTTATAACTCTCTGGAGGATACTCTGCCAAACTGAAAGAGCCCTTAAAATCTTACACCTTTTGATCCAGTGAATTTCAGAAATTTATTTCAAGGAAATGACTGGAGATGTACCAAAAGATGTAAGAATAATGACACAGTTTACGAAAGAAACTATAAACTGGAAGCAACCTACATATTACTTAGCCATGAGTAGATTTCAATTAATAATTTAAGACAATGAGAAAATGCTCAGGGTAAAACATTAGTAAGAAAAAGGCTATACATAATTATATAATCAAAGGCGTCAACTGTGTCAAAGAAAATATTTGTGCGTGTGAAAATAAGGAGAAAGTACTTACAAAAGTAATTAGAAGATAGTACATCATAATTTATTAGTAATTACGTCCACGTGTAGCAGTATTGCAGGAGAGTTTTGTTCTGAACTTTAATCCATGAGCATATATACTTTAATCAAATGCTGAATAATCATCGATCAGGAATATCATGAAAGGGAACGCTGTACTTAGATAGTAAATTGAACTATATGACTCACAAGGTCCCTTCCAACTTAAAGAGTCTACAACTCTAAGAAAACTTTTTTACAACTAATTTAAAAATCAAGACCAGAAAATCTGAAGTTAATTTTCAAAGTAGGATTGATAGCCAAGCATTAGTTTAAGAAGAAATATCAGTATCTTCTGGCTAGTAGCTCTTTCCTGGGTCGAAAAATGGGCAATGAACCTAAACGACCTGTGGCAAATAAAAAAAAAAAAAAAGAATGAATCTGCAATTGATAAAAATAAAAGATGAAGAAGAAGAAAGGAAGGTAGGCGTCTCCCTTATTTTCCTCAGAAGAACTGCTTGCCTAGATGCTCATGACATAACCTGTACTGATGATTACTGACTAAAGGGATGAAAGCTACCTCTCATTCTCATCCCTGCTAGGACTATCGACGACAAACTTTGCAGAGAGGGGAACAGTACATATTAAGAAAGTCTCTCCTCTTTTAGGAAGAATATCTGATTATATCAATTTGAATGACATCAGAATTAAGTGACCTTTAGTGGATAAACTACAGTCCAATTTTCATCTAAGAAAAGGCAATAAAGCATGAAAAACAGCTAATTATAAACCATTGGCCCAGACTCACAAAAATGTTAAAAATTATCACCATGTATTTCAATGTTAATCCATTTCAAGTCAAATAAGACAGTTTTGGGAAATAATTATAACAAATTAATCATAGATTAGAATCTATAATCCAAAACAAGAAAATAAACCCCTTGTGATAACTGAAGGTAGCCATTTGTTACAAAAGGAAGAAATCTTAGAACGTTATATACTTTTTACTAGAAATAAGTAAGACTGTTTAACAAAATATCATGTAATAGGATATCGTAACTAATATCTGGATGAGAATATATGCCTAGAGTTAAAAAGCAAAAAGAAAACAGTTAAAATTCTAAATAGTTACTCAAAATACCCAGAGAAATTAATAAGACATTTTTATTTCATAATATTTTGTTTATTTTTTATAAGCTTACGTATACTTTATTTATTTATTTACGTGTGTGTATATATATATATATATATATACACACATACACACACACACACACACACACACACACACATATCCTACTATCTTGCTAGCTACATGGCACGTGAGATAGGTAAAGACAGATAAAGTGCTTATGACAGTTTTCCTATAGTTAGAATATCATATAATTTGGAAAAAATTTTCTGGTTGTATAGAAAGATCAAGGGAATACAAGTGCTTATAGAATTTTGCCAAAACATATAGTTTATCTTTATTTCCTTTTTTTAATAAAAGAACTAAAGACCAAAAAAGAAAAAATAAGATCATGATTTTCCCACCAGTTACTGTCAATGAGATAAAAATCTGTTCTCCCAAATTATCATAATTAAAACATGGTTTAAAAAAAGGAAGAGAGAGAGAAAAGAAGAGCGACTCCAGCCCTTGAGCGTGAAATGCTGACCTTTATTCTCACAGGACTCCTTCTCTCAGAGAGACCAACAGAAACTAACACGTGAAATGTACCAGGGCTCTCGAATTAGTATATGGAAAAAAGAATTAAAATTAAAAAAAATATAAACCACATGCTAGAAAAAACAGTTCTACTATGATAAGAAAACAACTATGTCATATACAATTGCAGAAAACTTGCTTCTTCTGCTTTACTATTATCCAGAAACAATTCCTGAGGCCAATTTTACCTGACCACCACCCATGTCTTATTGTGGCAAATATGATTCAAGACCCAGTGTCTTCAACCGTTTTTTTCAATGCTGGAGTATTTAAGACTCACTACTTAGATGAATGTGCAAAAATACTACATAATTCAACATTTCTGTAATAGCTACAGCACCTGAAAATTAATATCTGGATCTGAAAAATCTACACTATCCTTAAAAAAAAAAACCAACAAAAACAAAACCCACTCGCTTAAATCTCTCCCTTTAAAAATGGCACCTGGAAATAAACACTCCCAAGAAAACACTAATTCAGCCATGTTCTGACGGGCCGTAGCTATATACAGTATTTTCAACATTTTCTAAAGGTACCACATTCTTGCATGTGTTGCAACAGACCCTCCAGCTCTGCAATCACGCTGCAATCATGAATAAACATGCCCCTCTTAAGTTCTACAGGTGCGTGGCCCTATCAAGGGCATGGGGCATGCACATGAGATCCCATATGGATTTCCATTACCTCCAACCTTGGGGCCACCTGCTGAACCAGGCTTCCTTGCGCTGTTGACAGGATTTCCGGATGTTTTAGGTGCAGGAACCTTGAAGGCTGAAGCAGCTGACGACGGCCTATTTCCATCCACTGATTCTTCATCATCAAAGCTTTTATCTGCACAAAGCGTTAGAAAATCGTATTTAAGAGAACTAAGCTTTGCTCCATTTTTCATAAGACTCAAAAATCAAATAAAGCCATGCACAAAATCACTACTGTGGAAAGACATATAATACAAAATAAAGCTCCTCTGACTAAGCATTGCTATATTAGCCAGCCGTATATAAGATAACCCTGAGTCATTTAAAATCAGAACGCAATACTGTCATATTTCCTACCAACATACATATTAAGTCAAAACATAAAGGCAAACTGTAAGGATTGTAAAAAGCATTTTCTGCCAGCCCCTCCCATAGTGCATCTTCTAGCACGCCCTGCCTTATTCCTTACACCCAGATTCTGCAACTTACAATCACAGATCCGTTTGCAAATCAGTCGCCTCATTCCTCTGAAAGCTCTTAATTTCCCTCACCCTAGGATGCTCCCAACAGTTCACATGGCCAAATACAGTCGATTCAATACTAATCAAAGATCCTATCAAAAATAGACAGCAACAACCACAGAACCAGCAGTGAGGTTTGTGCCGGCATTTTTCTTTCTCTTCCCTGCCCTAGGTGCTGCAACAGCCAATCAGCTACAAGGTGACATCATCTTATGGCAGCTACTGCCAGACGAAAGGTGAAAATTCTCCATGCATCGAAAAAATTCTCCATGCAGCTACAAGCCTTATTGTACATCAAAATCCCAAAGGCATTAAATACTGAAGGTCTGTAAACCTAAATTTGTGTTCTCTTACTTAACTCACGTGAAAATTTACACAGATAGGAAAAAAGGAAAGGCTTTATGCAATATTCTGCAGGGCTGATTATTATTGCATCAGTAAAGCATGGAATATCACAGTGCTCATTACTGTGTATAATTAACTCTGAATATGCTGTTTATTTAACTGAACAATGCTGTACTCATAAATGACTCTACAATGTTCAATAAAGCTCCTTTACAACGCTTCTCACCACACTAGCCTCATCTCCTTGGATATAAATGACACACACACACACACCCCTGACAAGATGTACGCATCTCACTCTTCCCTTGTGAGAAGCTGGTTTTCTCTAGGACCCTGCACAAACCAACCACGGACAAACAAGATGGGAGAGGCAGAGAAGCAGCGTTAGCACAGGCGTCAGATCAATATGCTGGGATCTCTTCTCTCCTTTCTGCCCCCCTTGCCTATGCAAATACCTAAATCACCTAGAATGACTGTCCCTCCAAAGGGATGCTTAAATTCAACTATTAAACATATTTTAAAGAAAATACATCAAACAATTTTTAACACTTTTATTTACTGGGGGAAAAAAATCAAAGAGACATTCTAACATAAAGCCACATTCCATTTCAGCAAGTGTTTTTCTTAAATAGCACAAGTCACAGGAAATAGAAGTATCTTCTAGTTAAAAAAAAAAGAATTATTTTATTTTGCATAACACTATAAGGGAGCCAGCTTGGATAAAATAATGGGCTTAAAACCTCTGGCTTAAATATACTGTCTGTTAAAACACTAATACAATTCCCAAATAAACTTTTTTGCCATCAACATATAAAAATAAAAATGCAGCTTAGAAACAGCGTAGACACACAAACCTACAGAAAGACAGGCACTGAAACACAGAGTAGCCAGAAGTTTCCATGGAAACAGTATTCCGCTTGCAAATCAGTTGCCTGTTCCAACACACAAGAAATGAAAGAGTAACTTCCCTACCATATAAAAAAAAAAATTAACTCTTTAACACTCTCAAACTACCAGGAAGTGAATTTTTAATTTTTTTTCAGAATACGCCAAAGTATACAAATCCTAATACAGCTCAATGAAATTTCACAAAATGAACATCCCAGTGTAACCAGAATCCGGATCATTAATAGATTATTACTCGTATCGATTAAGCATCCTCATGACCCCCAGTTACTGTCTCCTACCTAAAGCTAACTAGTCTTAACATAGTTGGTTTTGCCCATTTTTGAACTTTATATAAACGGAATCGTGCAATATGTACTATGGTGTCCAGCTTCTTTTCATTCACTATGTTTGAAAGATTCATTGATTTTCATTGCTGTATAGTTTCCTGATGTAAGAATGTACAATGATTTACTAATATCCATTCTACTGTTGATGGTCACTTGGGTTGTTTCCAATTTGAGGTTATTATAAAAGAGTGCTTCTGAGAGGTAAGCAAACGAAGTTAAAAGGTTCTAAGGCTTTTAGCATTACCAAAGAAGTAGTAAACATAGTAATTTACTTTAGTTTGTTGTAAGTCAAAGATGCACATCGTAACCTTCAGGGCGGTTCCTCAAAGCGGGTTCCCAGACCAGCAGCTGAGCATCACCTGGTCCCAACACAAACCTACTGAATCAGAAACCATGTTGATGAGGCTCACAGTCTGTGTGCTAACAAGCCCTCTAGGTGATTCTGTTGCATGCTCAAGGTTGAGAACCACTCGCAGTGGTTAAGAGCTCAGCGGCTAACCAAAAGGTTAGCAGTTCAAATCTACCAGGCGCTCCTTGGAAACACTATGAGGCAGTTCTACCCTGTCCTATAGGGTCGCTATGAGTCGGAATCACTCAATGGCAACGGGTTTGTTTTTTTGGTTTTGGCCCTAGGACAGGGTTGGCAAACTTTTCTGTAAAGGGCCATATAACAAATATTTTAGGCTCTGCAGGTCACACACATACTGACTGTGCAACTACTCAGTTATGCCACTGTAGCATGAAAGCAAGTGGCACAACATAGGTAGACGAATGGGCGTGGCTGTGTTTCAATACAGTCTTATTTATGAAACAGGAGGGCAACTGGATTTGGTCTGCAGGCAACAGTCTGTCAAACCTTGCAACAGGGTAACTACTAAAAGAAGAGAGAAAGTAAACATAAGTACACTAATAGAAGAGAAATAATAAAAATGTTTCTGCTGAGTTGAAAAAAGCAGGAAAGAATACAAAAAGAATCATAAAATGTGGAGAAATAGAAAACAGATCATAAAACAGTGAAATAAATACAAAACCAAATATGTCAGTAATTACCTCAAATATGAGTGAACTAAATATTCCAAGCAAAAGACCAAGATTTGAAAACAATACACAGGCTGCTTCAATTAGGGACAATTTCTAAGATCACATAAAGGTTAAAAAGTCCCTAGGTGGTATAAACAGTTAACACATTGGTTGCTAACCAAAAGGTTGGTGGTTCAAGTCACCCAGAAGTGCCTCAGAAGAAAGGCTTGGAGATTTACTTCCCAAAAAATCAGTCACTGAAAACCCTGTGGAGCACAGCTCCACTCTGACACACATGGGGTCACCATGAGTTGGAATTCACTTGACGACAACGGGTCAAGATTAAAAGTAAAATGACAGAGAAAGGCAGGCCACGGCAACACTAAAAGAAAGCTGGTATAACTATAAACACACACATCCACTGCCGTCTAGTCGATTCCGACTCACAGCAACCCTATAAGACAGAGCAGAACTGCCCCATAGGGTTTCCAAGGCTGCAGTTTTTACATCGGAGCCCTAGTGGTGCAGTGGCTAAGAGCCTGGCTGCTAACCAAAAGGTCAGCAGTTCGAATCCACCAGCCGCTCCTTGGAAACCCTATGAGGGGCAGTTCTACTCTGTCCTATAGGGTTGCTATGAGTCGGAATCAACTTGACTGCAACGAGTTAATCTTAACAGCAGCAGGCTGCCACATCTTTCTCCGGGTGAGCAGTTGCTGGGTTCAAACCTCCAATCTTTCGGTTAGCAGCTGAGCGCTTAACCACTGCGACACTAGGGCTCCTTACTGATTTCAAACAAAGCAGTTTGAAGAAACATTACTAGCAATAAAGAGAAATAATAATGATAAAGCAATCAACAGGAAGAAATCTAAACCTTAAGTTTTTATGCACGCAGTAACACCGCTTCAGATACATATAGCAAAATTTGAAGAACTACAAGGATAACAGACAAAACTACAACCATAGGGAGAAATAAATTTCTACCCATTCCCATTAAGGTTATATCTTTTTTGACCATAAGCTACAAGAATTCATAAAGCTGATTCATCATCACAGGCTCTAAAATTTGGTTTACAATTTACAAAGAGGTTATAAACGCTCTTGGCTTAAAAATATATTCTTAATAGGTATAAAGTATCAGGACAGATCTCAATTACTTTTCTCCCTAGCACCTATCACTTCCTGAAATAAAAGACACTGATTTTTATAAGAGCACTGTAAGCTTCTTAAGGGCAGGAACTTTGTATTGCTCATGCTGTAACCTGGGATAATCCCGGGATAGCTGTCACAGACAACTACCTCTTCTCCCTGCTTCCCACCTCTGCCTCTTCAGAGTTTATTTTCAACACAGCATCCTGAGTTGAATAGTCATATCAATCACTGCTCAAAATCCTCCTACAACTCCACATAAAGGCCTACAAGTGCTCTAAGATCTTAGAGATCTTAGCAATCCCGCAGGTCTCTCTGACTTTATCTCCTACTTATTCCCCATCTTTCTCTCTACACTGGCCCTCCTGGGCTCCTTGCTGTGACTCATGCCAGGGCCTCTGCACTAGCTCCCTCTTCATGGAATGCCCTTCCTCTTCACAGACACACTGCTAGTTCACTCACCTCCTTCAGATCTTTATTCAATTGTTACCTTCTTAATGAGGTCTTCTCTGGACACTAAAATCACAAACTTCCCAAGACCTTGACAATCCTGATCTACCCACCCCTATCTCCCTGCTTTATTTTTCTCCCTAGCACTAACCATCTGCATATTTTACTTCTTTGGTTTATCTGTTTCTTCCCACTGAAATGTACGATCTACAGGGTGGAGACTTCTATTTTGCCCACTGCTCTCTCTCCAACATCTGGAACAAAATCTTCGTAGGGAGACTTTAGGTCTCTAGTATAAGCATTACTACGTTATTTGGAACGAAACTTTGAAGACAAACAACTATAAACACTGGATAAAATGCATTTTTTAAAAAACCTTCTTAAAAGCAATAAACACCTGAGACAAGATAGCAGGAAAC